AAGAATCCCAGGCCAGAGAGAACCGTCGGAACACTCGCGCCACAGTCGACTTCGGGTTCAGAGGAAGAATGGCAAGATAATCGCCAGCCTTGTAGGTCATGGCCGAGGGAAGCTGAATCTCAATATGCTTCTTAGCAGGGCCCGACTTGGTAAGAGTCTTCTCAGCAACCACCAACGCTTCTTCGACATCTTGACGGAGACTCGTCTTTCGTGGCGTTGAAACCTCGACCAACAGGCCCTTCTGGCCGCCTGACTCTTCATCAGAGATCTTGTATTTCTCCTTCAGCCCTGGCCAGAGGACAGTATCCTCCCAAGCTTCAAAGTCGCTGAACATGTCACTTGTGGCAGCGTCTGCGCTACCCATGGGAACGAGGCGAGTACCGCCACGCTTCTCAAGAGTAGAGTCAACAAGTTTGGGGATTCTGTGGAATGTCTCAACCCAGTCGTGATGACCACAAGCAAAAACAGCGTACGACACCTTTTCCATCTCGTTACCATCCAAATCCTCCATCCACTTAATGAAGTGGGCAGCGTTGGAAGGTGGTTGTCCTTCGTATGATGCAGTGACTATGACGACGGGACGGTCTTCAGGAAGGCTCTGCTTGGCCTGATCGAGAGGACCAACTGTGGTTGCGCTGAATCCGTGGCTAGGAGCATCCGAGGCCAGCCTGTTGGCGAGAGCCTCGCATGTACCACTGTTTGAACCGTAGAAAATAGCCATAGGCTTTCCACTGCCAGCCTTGACATCTGAATTCGCAGCGGATTTGATGTTGTGACTTGAAGAGCTGGTACCTCCGCTTCCTGCCAGAACATGCTCTAGCTCGGTTGGGGTCATGCCATGTCGTAGGGTAGCGTTGATATAGAAGTGTACGGGCTTAATAGTCAGCGTCTGCTGAATCTCCAGAGCGTAGTTGGGATCCGTCATGGTGAAATTGAAGTTCTGGAAGAGAACGACCATGGCGAGAAGAGACTCTTGCCAGGCAAAAGGACGTCCGATACAAGCACGCTTTCCGTTTCCAAAAGGCTTCCAGCAGTTGGGGTATTCCTTGTTAAGTCTCGCGAATTCATCATCAAGCATTCGCTCGGGTATGAATTTGTCAGCATCATTGCCATATACGGCAGGGTCAACGTGGCCCCTAGACAGAAGAGCAGTGACGATTTCGCCCTTCTTGACGAGATACTTGCCCCCAAGGAAGGTATCTTCGATGGCCTCGAGACCAAAGGCACTAATAGGGGAGTTGATTCGGAGGGTCTCTCTCAAAACGGCGCTTATGTAGGGGAGCTTGGTGAGATGCTCAACCAAGACGGGACCACGGCCGACAACTTCGTCGACTTCTTTCTGGACCTTGCTGTAGGCTTCGGGGTTCTTAAGAAGCTGATACATGGCGAAAGATAGAGTGCCAGAAGTGGTTTCGTGGCCAGCGATGAGGAATGTGATGAGCTGGTTGGTGATGTTCTCGTCGGACAACTTCTCTCCCGTTTGAGGATCAACCCCGTTAAGCATAGCAGCGAGCAGATCCTTCCTATCGCTGGGGCTCGCCTTTCGTGCGGCGACGACTTCATCGGCTACTGACTTCATCAATGCAATGTCATTATAGAACTTTTCGTTTGCTGCACGATAGAGGAAGTTGGGCGCAAATGGAGGTCGTCGGTTTCTGTTTCCTGACTCCGTAAGGAAATCGCCCATGGCTTCGATAAATGGGTGCAGTTCCTCTTTGTAGTATGAGTTGAAGCGGAAATCCATGGCGCAGAGAGCCAGAGTATCCAGGGCTGACAATTGTTAGTGATGAGCGTGTTGAAGACTCAATGTTTTGCGTACCTAGACGGGTAAAGTTATCGCTAGCATCAATTGGTGTCCGAGGACCATGACGAGCAAACTTCATGCACAATTGGGTAGCGATGTCGTGCATTTCTGGAAACATTCCTCTTATGCTCAAAGGGCCAAAAGCCGGTACTAGAATCCTGTGTGCTTTGCCCCAATTGGGCTCATCCTCGAATGCTGTGAAGAGGCCATCGTGAACACCTTCTCGAACTTGCTGTCAAGGGTCAGTGAAGCTCAATTGCTGAGATTTCTGCTGCGTACGCTGAGAACCGACTTTAGGGTCTTTTTAAACCGCTTCTCGTCACAAACTTCGTTGATCAATGAATTGGAAGAGACGAAAATGGGAGCCTTGGCTCCAAGACGTAATCTGAAAATGGGGCCTGAGGGGAATCAGCGGTGGTCAATGAGTTAGTTGACTGTGGTCAATTAATTACCGTATGTATCTGCTAGACGGTTCAGATCAGAGAGAGGATTTGATGTGAATTCTCCCAGGTTTCCAATCAGAGGGTAGCCAGGAGGCTCAGGGATAGGCACAGATTCAGCCATGCTGTATTTGCGTTGTGTTGTGCTGTGTCGCGTCTGCCTTGGTCTGGTCTGGTGAGGAGAAGGTGGAGATGTGTTGAATGGGTTGTGGTTCTTCGCTCTTATTATAGGTGTGAACAATGTGATATGAGCGAAGGAGCTGAGCTGAAGTCCGGATTGAACTTGGCGTTGCAATGGTGGAAAGTTTCTTGACCACCTTTTCTTTGGTTCAGAATAAGCAGCAGAGCAAGCAGAACGAATGGAACTGGAAATGATTAAATAGGCAAAGGTTGAAAAGCCGATGGTTACAATACGACACAGACTCCTTTTCCGCTCGCCTCACAACGTCATAGCAACGCGTCGTATGCAATTGCTGCGGCTTTATTACTAGAGAGGCTCACTCAACCAAGACTAACAGAACAGAATCTCCCGTCTCCCGCCTGTCCGTATCCGTTTCTTCAAAACCCGGCCCCGTTTGTGCCAAGTGCCGTGAACGTAAGCCAATCGCTGGAGACGCATTAGATTAGGCTTGCCAAGAACCTGTTCAAGTTAGGTAGTCTGGGCGGAATTGCATCTGTAACTGAACAAACGAGCCCTACAGACGGATCTAACCATGAACCATAAGTCGTACGTTTATTACATGACATTGCGTTTTGTTGAACTACCTAAATCACTGTAGGATCAGTTCTTTGTTTATCAACTAAAGTATTAACTAAACTATTTCTTTGTTTCTTTCTTTTCTATCTATTGTCTGCTGTCGATCCTGGGCATTATCTCATGCTTTCTTATGCCTCGGCATCTCCATCAAATTCTCGGCCGTGTCCGGTGCCCCACTCTTCCCGCACCGGATCCGAATCCCGAGGCGGTGAGACGGCCTGATTTAATCATCCGAATTCCCTTATTATGGAGGAATAATGAATGAGTTAACAGTATCAGTTTCAGGGTATATGCGAAATTGCAACAGAATACGACGCTCACGGGTCCCCCGATTGGTGTTCGCATATACATCTTGTCCTACGGCAAGCGGACAGTCGGCGTGTCGATCACTTCTCCCCACCGTCTTGGCACCCTGAACGGCGTTTATTTACCACCGAAAAGCCCGTTCCTGCAGTGCGTAGGTATTCCTGGACTATTTCGTTGAGTGTGCTTCTGGACGGATGCTGCGCCTTGCATGTTCAGCACTAACGGCTCTCACTTGGTGGTGATGATGATGATGGCTTCTGGCAAAAGCTCAGGTCATCATCAACAGCAAAAGAATAGGTCTCAGAGGGAGTCGAACCCTCGCTGGCGGAATCAGAATCCGCAGTCATAACCGTTAGACCATGAAACCTCAAAATATGATGGCTTGGATGGGTGGCAGCGGCAGCAGAATTTGCCAACATCATGACGTTAGCCCGAAGCTGTTATAGCCACGACCGTCGGTATTGTGTTCCGTACGGAGTAGTCGGAGAATCGTATTGTTACAAGGCTTCCGGAAGACCCTTCCATCTTCCGTGTGTAGTCAGCGAGGTCGAGACTTTTAAGTTATACCCCTGCCTCTGATCTTTGATCTTAGGTCACATCGGCTCACATCTTTATCTTGCTAGCTATCCGTAAACACTTATTATCCTATAAACTTAATTTTTGACATTGGGGGGAATCGGTCACAAAACCGTAACCTGAAGCATACTATTCTCAACAGCCATTGGTCACGGTAGCAGCAATTAGCAGTTGGGACGCTATGTTGAGAGTGTCAGTGACTGGGGGAAATGTATGTGCACATTAAGCACTTCAGTATTATTATTCTGCCAAGTTCTTATCCGACCCGTTGGTCTGTTCTGGAGGCCCATTTCACTCACCTATACGCTGACCACCCATTCTTTCTCGAAACCTCATCACCTCGGCATCTTCCATCATATTAACCATTACGCCACAAACTTGGTATAAACGCAATCGTCCGCCAACTTGAAGCGCCATGTCTGGTGCAACGTTCCAGGACTTCTTTTCGAAAGACGCAAGCGAGAGCAAGTTTGTATCGTGGCGTCAATAGCAAAAACGTAGTTGCAAAACTTCCAAGTTGCCGCGCAACGAGACTCCGAGACTGCATACTATGTAGATCCCTTTCCGTGACCCGGCACTTCTAACATCAATGCACTGATGAGCTTGTCTCAAGATACAGGTGATTTGCAAATTTAGAAAATGGCATCTAAGGAGTTGTCCCGCTTACCTCTTGAGCTATGGCTGCCTTGACAAACATGTATATTGCTACAAGGCAAACGCCTACCTTAAGGTAGTAGGTAAAGGAGGCAGCTGAGAAGTGACTGCTCCCTACCCTGCAAACATCAGAGCCATTTCTTTTGTCATTTAGCTAGTTAATGCTTTCCCTCTCAGAAACTCAGAGAGTTGGCTGAAAATTGATAAATTCTACAGTATGTCCTAAACTATCTTTCCTCCTTCAACCAACGTCAGCATCATCATCATCATCATCAAGATCAAGATCAAGATCATCGTGGTTATCATCCCAACTTTCGTTATCCCCATATTGGCTAAAGCATTCCATCTTTATTGTAATGCCCCGTCTTGAATCACAAACCAAGCCATCCGCTCGTTGTATACTATTTATTAGCCTTCGAGTTTTCCCTCACTTCCCGAGACCTCGACAATCGGCGAACCGGTCATGAGCAACTGCCCCCTCTGTGATCCATCCGGGTCTATAGCGGGATTGATCGGGCCTCAATTCTGCGCCGCCGTAAGTCTTGTCTCACATACGTAGCTCTTGATTTTAATGTAGTTGTTGACATCAACAGTGTAGTACAACATGGTGGAACGGCAACGACTCTCCCCAGAATAATTAGGGATCAAGACCGGCATCATCTCCTTTGAACCCTCGAGCTCCAGTATATCAGTCCTCAGCTTCCTCCACAAGGGTTGTCTCTTTGCCTCGTCCGTCAGAAGGTGCCCCAGGCTCTGGGTCAAACACACGGCCTCCAGAAGGGGGACACGCATCTGAAGAGATACATCCCCCAGAAGAGGAATGCGCATCTGGAGAGATACAGCCTCCAGAAGAGAAACGCGCATCTGAGGAAACACAATCTACAGGGGAGGGCCATGGATCTGAAGAGAGATATGCATCTCAAGAAACACAGTCCCCCAGAAAGAGACACGCATCTGAAGACACAGGGTGTGCAAAAAAGAGGCAGTCACTTTCCCCGCCCCTTCAAAAGATTACTTCGCGTGGAGGCAGCAGTTCTCCTGAACCAGCACACTCGGTCCGAGGAGGCACTTCAGCACCGGTGGCGGCTCCAACACCCGATGTTGTCGCACGGCCTCCTGTGGACGAAGAGATCCACGAGACCCCCAAAATCCAGTCTCATGATCCATCCCCCCCTTTAGACCAGGATCAGGAGAAGAAGCCGGACAGGAAACCAGGGCCGACTTGGGCAAATGTTGCTCAAATCACCAAAAAGCAAACAAACCAGTCCCACCTGAAAATAAACGTGCGACCTGCGAAACCAAAGTAGCCACCCGAGGACCCAGACTGGCCCTCCACGAAACCCAAGGGCTTTGGCTGCGAGAGAAAATAGGAAGCCTGACCAGCAAAAGAGCCGATAAGGGAGACCAAAGATTCTACCAAGAGATGGGGAGATTGAGTCAGTAGCAGCCTGCGTAAGAGCGATGTGAGATTTCTGGATTCATGCAGCGAGATAGTCAATACATTGCTTTTTTCTCGGGTTTGAACGTCTCTTGTCCTGAGTTATCCCCTTGATCATGCATTGAAATTACAAGAAGCTGCCTTATTTTCAATATGTAATTATCAGAGTGGCGTCTATATTTCATAGACAGCTTCATAGTCCAACGTTGATGTAAGTTCGGCTCTTGCAGGACTTGTTTGGTATCTCAACATCCAACCAATAGACTTGAACACATGAGCATTACCTTACAGGAGGCTACGTCCATTGGCACATTCAACAGCCGTTGTCTGGAATGCAATCGTTTGATATCCATTGACACAACCAACATGGGTCGAGCTCACAGTAAAAGCACTCAACAGCAGTCTTCATTCTTTATGGGGTATCCCTGACGTCCATTTATGTAATTAGCAATGCCGCTGGTAGCTCAATTCCAATCACTCCCGTGTGCCCTACAAATAGACCTCTATTCTATTCCGTACATCGAAGCGCATACGTAAGGAAATTGGCACTTGGTTGCAGTCACTGCACGTTGTGTATCGAGGTGGTACGATAGCAATACGTTATCTCACCAAGGTCTGCCTCTAAGACCTCTCATTGTCTTGATGCCACCTTGCGAGCGAACGACGAGGAATCACGACTTCTGATATCATCCTTAAAGCGATTCCCCCAGAGTCTGGTGAGTGACGATTCTACTGTCGCCTTTCCTCTCGTGGCGGTCCGTTACCAGGCCCTCCTCCACCAAATCTATCGCGGAGCCAGCTAATGGGGCCATGGCTGCTCTGTCGTCGTTGCTGATCCGAGTCCGCCGCTGACCGACGACTACTCTGGGAAGGGCTTCTCTGTCTCATACGAGCGCCATGTTCACTTGGGGCAGTCGCTCTAGGACTTGTTGGAGAGTGTGAGCTTCGTCGCTGAAGTCGAGACGTGTCGTAGCTAAACCCCGATGTCTCGCCTCGTTCACGCTCGCGTTCACGTTCTCTCTCTTGTTGCCGGTTCGAGATAGTACGCAACGCTTCATTCAAGCGACTCTGGCTCTGACTTGGAGGTCGCGAGAACCGCATCGGGCGTGTATGAGAATGAGGGTTGTCGAATGGTGTCCACTGATTGGGAGTAAACGTGAATGACGCTCGAGTTCCAAACGGATTCGGTTGGTCAGAGTTAGGCCCTGGCATTGGACCTTGGGATTGGGAGCCGTCGCCGTTATTATTGTTGTTATTGTTGTTGTTTCCATTGCCGCCATTATTGTTGCCACCGCGATCGGTCTTTTCGATCGGCGTTCGGCAGATGGGGCAAGTGTTGTGCTCCTTTAACCACAAGGTGACACACTCCTCGTGAAACCAGTGATTACAAGGTAAAAATGTGGCCATATCCCCCTCCTTCATCTCATCGATGCAAATGGTACACTCTGCCTTTCCCTCCGAGCCCAACATTTGTTTGTCGACAGGTTTTCGTTCCAGGTTTTTAAGAGCTTCCTCTGTAGCTGGAGGAGCGGCGTTGGACTGGGGATTGGCCTCCATGAGTCCTGTGATGATCCGATCCAGAGCCTCTTGGGAGTACACTGCATCACCATGCATTGCATTTGCTGGATTAAGGAGATTCAGGATATCTTGCAGGCTTCGAGCCAGACCGGGTGGAGGACCTCCGGCGCCTTCCTCGCCGTCATGATTATGAGCGGGTGGTGGCGGGACAATGTCGCGTAGCATGTTCTGAAAGAAACTGGTACGCTGGTTAGCTCCAATAGTCATGGAAATGGCCGTGACTCGCAAGCCGCCTGGTCGTTCAGCAAGCTGAAACGGGGGTTGTGCATACTCTTGAAATGTTTCGCCTCCTGGGGCACCAGCGGGACCACGGCTTGTTGCATGGATAGGTCCCGAGACGATTGTTACAGAAGTCGTTCCGCCTAGTGGCCCGGACGTGAAAGTCGTCCGGTGAATGCGCGGTCCAAAGTTTGGTTCTTGGGGCTGTTCGTGTTCTCCTGGGCTCGGTGGGAAAGAACCGTTGCCACCGGGTGCTCGAGGTCCAAATCCGTTAAGCATATCCCAGAAGCGCTCATAAGTTGGCGCAGTAGCGGGATCATGATGATGTGTATGGTTCGGACCGTCTCGGACGCTCCGTCGGAATACAAAGCCATGCTGGGCATGCTCATCTATGTCGGCTTCTTCAGGATCTGAATCGTATGGGTGATGCTCGGGTGAGGTGGAGGCAGAGGAGCGGTGATCCAAATCGCGGGGGTCGTTGGCGGGATCGATCTGGACATAGTGGTTAGCATTCTGGATAGGAAGTAGCAGCGTGGGAAAGCATACAATCTCTGTGATCTCGCCGTGACATTCGGGACAAGTTAGTCCATTCTCATCTCGATACCATTCTCCGGCGCAGGCGTGGCAATAGACTACCTCACGACCTGCGGTCGCGTCGAGGTGACCATGCCTCTGGGCATGAGAAGACATCTGCTGCGCTTGGCTGCGTTGGTACGCAGTCAAGGCACTCAAACCAAGGCCGACAGCAAGGCCGGCGAGGCGAAAGGCGCGCGAAGCCAGACTGAAAGATAGTTCAAGATGTCGTTGAGGCGAAAGACCGAGGTTGGGTGATGTAGGAGACCAAGTGTGAGAAGGTCTGCGTGAGATCAACGGGTGTTGAGATTAGTAACACAGGTTGAGTGGAAAGGGTCGGTCGTATGGAGGATTAAAAGAGAAGTAATAAATAAGGAGGAAATGGTCCGGCTCGATTCAGGAATAAGAGCCAAACGAGGTTATCAAGACGATGAGATAGATCTGATCGATGCAAGGTGGTGTGGTATGCTATCCGTTGGTTGACGTTTAGTCTAGCTCTTAGGCTGGTGGCGAATAACTTAAGAAGCGACCCGCAAACTGGGCAAAGAACAACGGTGATGCAGTGCCAAGCCAATGACGAGCTGAGTTAGAATAGACACTAACAGTCAGTGCCCGTAAGATCAAAAGCGGTATGAAGCGAGAAATAATCTAGGTAGGGTAAGTCAAGGTAGGTGGTAGGTAACGATTGTAGTGTTGAAGGTTTAAGGCAGAGACAGCGCAGAGCAGCCCAGTGGTTCAAGCCTCTGGAATACGATCGATACCCGCGGAAGAAGATCGGAGCAGCTGAAAGATGGCCAACAGCCTCAGGTTTCCGCACGCAATAGAGACAACATTAGTAAAGAGAGGAAAGGGGAGAAAAGTCGGCTTGAAATCAATATTCAATCAAGCAACTTGAAACAATCAAATAGTGCCAAATTGATCAATATTAAAGAGGGGAAATTGCCTTGACCAACAACGCAAAACAGCCTTGGAGCCTCAATAAGCATAAGCAGCGGAGCACCCTCATGTAGGTTGTGCAAGGATCCTCTCCAAGGTACTAGCTAATGTAGGTGCCCCTAACTGTAGAAAGATACCTGGGCCTAGAGCCGGTAGTGACCTCAGTGGCAGCGGCTTAAAGTGGACTCAGGCAGTTTAATCCTGGTGCCCCCAAGTACCCCTGGACCTGATATTTAGTACCTGACTGTCTAAGTTGGCAGACCGGGCTGAGTTGGCGTGTCTTTGAACATGTAGCAGTTCGTCTTGGAGAGAACCGATAGCCAATGATTCACAGCCGACTTGTCCATGGTGCTTCTGTTATTGGTTGTCCTATGTAGTATCAGGCAGTCAGTATCCAAGGCAGACTGGACGGGACTGAACTACTGAGCTATATCTGAATTACAGTTAACGAGGTAGTAGTTCTCCATCATGTTTTATCAAGTTACATATATTTGCCATTACTTCCCTTATGCTTAGCACCGGGGTTCTTGAAAACAAATCTCTGGTCCAAGCTCAATTAGGTGTTTTGTTATAAGCATTGTCTTCTGAGACCGTCTCAGTTAGTACCTTTAACACATTCAGACGAGCTTGATCGTGTGTAGGGTGTGCTACTGAGTCCTTATCATCGCCCTTGTCTTGGTCGCTCTGGTAGGATTGTCACGTCGGCTCGGCTGTAACGGATCACTATCTGCAGTCGTCTGATGCTTTGTGTGAAACCTGTTCCAGCAATGTGGATTTAGTCCCAACTCACTTCAAGAGGACGAGACTTAAATAATGGCCCACTACTCCGTACGTCGTACGCACATCTTCCCAGCATACCTTAAAGTGTGTTGTGAAGAGAATAGGTCCGATATTTCATGTTCGGCTTAAGGTCCTTCTCGTCTAGCATAACGGAAGACATGCTACGTATTTGGAAATTCCAAATGTGAATGAGTTTATCCCAATTTTGAAGCGCTTTTCGCTCATCATAAAGCCCGTCGAGATACCACCAGTATGAGTCTGCTTCTCGGGAACTAGACGGCAATATTGATTCTCATAAGCAGATTTAGCAGTGCTCTGATTTGCTCTCAGGAACGAGCATTAACACCCACTTGATAATCCTCTGGTCTGGGAAGCAGCATGTTGGTAAACCGAAGAACAAACTAGAGACTTCTTGGGTCGAAATTCGGCTTCTCATCACTTTTGATCCTAGTCGAGATGTTCTAGGGAGCTTCGTGAAAAGGAATATTAGCGACCCTCATCATCACAACATCATAGACACTAGATATTGATCTTGAATCAGATTGTATTCGTCTTGTCGCAGAAATTTGTACAAAGTGTCGTTTTATCCAACTCTATTCGCTCTTTGACGCATTTCCCTTATCCTCTTCATCCCACTGCTTCAACTGTTTCGACCAGCTAAATCCCATTGTTAGCACGTTCGCTCAGAATCTCGCCAATATGGAATTGGATAACATACTGTCGGCTAGCGTACCACTGCCCCTGCTCAGGTCGGTGCGCCCATTGTTCTCGTCCAGCGCTGAA